AATAATATATATATCCCAGACTATGCTAGATTAAAAGAGATTACCGAGGGGGGAGGGTATAGCTCAAGTGGTAGAGCACATGCTCAGCATGCACAGGGTCTTGGGCTCAATCCCCAGTACTGCCACTAAAAATAAATAAATAAACCTAATTTCCTACCCCTCCCCCCAAAAAAGTTGGAAAAAAAAAGATTACTGAGATATAACCACCAAATGCAATGCATGAACACTTACAGAATCATTAATAAAAAATGTTCTAGAGATATAAAAGCTATTTTGGGGCAATCTGAATATGGACTTTTTATTAAATAATATTATGAATTTAGTATTAATTTTTATAGGAGTGATAATAGTAATATAATAATAAAGGAGACTGTCCTTGTTCTTGGGAGATACATGCTGAAATATTTAGGAGTGAAGAATCATGAGGCCTACAACTTATTTTCAAATGGATCAGGAAAAAAGAAACCAAAAACCATGTGTGTATGTGTGTGTTTGTGGAGATAAAGCAGATGCTAACAATCGGTGAATCTAAGTGCAGTGTAGGAGTTCATTGTCTTGTTCTTTAAACATTTTCCAGATAAAATACTAAGAGAAACCTCCCCCCAGTATTTCCTTTCTTTCTCTGTTTTTTCTTCTTAGTAGTTTCACTCTCTGACATCCTACATATTCTATTTATTTACTTGTTTATTTTCTGCTTCCCATGAAAGAATTTAAGACCCACAGGGACAGAGATTTCCATCTGTATTGCTTACTACTGGGTTCTCAGTGCCTAGAGGAGTGCCTGGCACATACTCAGCAAAGGGTGGGTGAATGAATGGATGGATGAAAAATGGATGATGACATGGCCAAAGGACCAAGCAGGAATGGGACTGAGTGGAGGTGTGGCTCACCTAGTGGTGGTGGTGGGGTGTTTGTGTATATGAATTTAGGTAGCCAAACTCAGCCTGATATGAGTTTTATAGACTAACTGGAAATTCTGACTTGTAAAATGTGAAGCATCCTAGTTTCTAAATGTTGGCAATCATTTAAAATTGTGTGAGAACCACTGTACAGTAGCGAGGCCACCAGACTGCAATCTGTGCACACAAATCCCTGAAAAGATGCCTTGGACTCTGGAGACATCTGCTCAGGTTCAAGTCCTGGCCCCGTCACTGATGCTGGGCAAGGGACCTAATCTCTTTGAAACTCAGTTTTCTCATCTGTAAAATGGGGATACTCATATCTCCTCCATAGGATTACTGTGAGGTCTAACAGAGATCATGCATGAAATGATGAGTTAGAAATTCAACCACGGCCACAGTCAGCTAGAACTGTGCATGGCTGCCCTTCAGGTGGCATGCAGTGCCTACCACTGCCAGGTTATACCGAGATGCCTCCCCTCAGTTATGTTTCTGCTTGGTCCCTGTGAGCATGTCATCATCCATGCATTCAAACCAGCAACATTTGCTGAGCACCAACTATGTGCCAAGCATTGGGTGCCATGAGAGCATGCAATTAATATGTACACATAGTAGGTGGTCAAGAAATGGTTGTCATTGTTATCCCCATGAGCAGACCTGGATTTAAATCCCACATCTGTGGTATAGCCACTTGGGAAAAAAGTCTGGCAGTTCTTCAAAAAAGTTAATATACATAAAAGTCATAGATCATGTGACCCAGAAATTCCACCCTAGGTATATACCCCAGAGAATTGAAAACATATGTCCACATATATGTTCATCACCACCATTATTCATAATAGCTAAAAAGTAGAAACAACCCAAATTTCTATCAAGCCATGAACAGACAAACAAAATGTGGTATATCCTTACAATGAAATGTTATTTGACCACAAAAAGGAATGGAGTTTTTTTTTTAAAAAAGGGGGGGGATTAGGTTTATTTATTTAATGGGAGTACTGGGGATCAAACCCAGGACCTTGTGCATGCTAAGCACGCACTCTACCACTGAGCTATAGCTTCCCCACCAGAAATGGAGTTTTGATATATGCTATAATATGGATGAATCTTGAAGACATTATATACTAAGGGAAAGAAGCCAGACACAAAATGCCACAGAAATAGCAACCAACTTATGTAAACTATTCAGAATAGGCAAATCCATAGACACTAAAAGCAGACTAGTGGTGGGAAGGGGGTGGAGAGGGAGAGGACTAGGGGAATGGAGAGGAACTGTTGATGGGTATGGAGCTTCTTTTTGGGGTGGTGAAAATGTTTTGGAATTAGATAGTGATGATCAATGTGCAACTCTGTGATTATACTGAAACCACTGAATTATACATTTAAAAATAATGAACCATACAGTATGTGGATTATATTTCAAAACAGCTGTTATTTTGAAGAAATCATTAGGAAAAAAAGAAGTCTGACAAGTCAAGGGGATAGAACAGAAGAATGTACAAAATCAGACCTAAGAGTAAAGGGGTATTTAGTATGTGATACAGCATTTCAGAGCAATGGAGGAAGGATGGAACCTTTTCATCCAAGGAACAGTGTTCACCCAGAAATGGTGAAAGCATTTGCTTTCACCTCTCTGTACTTGTTTCCTCATCTCTGAAACTGACAAAACCACAGCTACCCTATACAAATACTGGGAATACTGAATGACTGAAGTGACCTTCTACTGCCTGGCACATGGGAAGCCCTCAGAAACAGTAGCGGCCTTCATGATCGGCCCAGATCGCAGAACCACAGCATCTTAGAGAGATCTGCAGGTGCAGTTCAATAGAATCCTGGAGTCCCAGGATGTCAGAACAGTAGATTCTAAGAATAATATATGTTTAGAATGTTGGAATCACAGAGCCACAGAATTATAGGAGTTTTAGAGCCAGAAAGACCTCAGAGAACACCTGCCCCAGGGGGTTGCACGCCTGGAGATTTAAAAATAATAGTAACAATATAACAACAACAGTAGCAGCAGCCCAGTAGCTGCTAGCATACCACATGCCAGACATTTTTCTAAATACTTTCTTATAGTAGCTTACTTAATCTTGGCAACAACCCTACAAGGCAGGTACTATGATTATCACATTTTATAGATTGGGAAACAGGGGCACAGAGAGGTAAGGAACTCGCTTAGAGTCACAGAGATAGTGAATAGTAGTGCCAGGATCTTATCCCTGGCCACAGTCCATGTTAAGATTCCCAGGCCTTCTCCCCAGGAATTCTGATTCACTGGCTCCAGGCTGCAGGGTTTTTTGTTTTGTTTTGTTTTGCTTTTTTGATTTTGGGGGGATTGGGTTTATTTATTTATTTACTTACTTATTTACTTATTTATTTAAGTGGAGGTACTGGGGACTGAACCCAGGACCTCGTGCATGCTAAGCATGGGCTCTACCACTGATCTATACCCTCCCTCGAGAAATCTGTGTTTTAAGCTACCTAGATGATTCAGATACCAACCAGGGCTGAAAACCACTGGTCTAGTACAGAGGTGGCAAACTGGTGATGCTCTAGCCAGAGCCAGCCCACAGCCACACAGCAGTTTAAAACTAAGCCAACCTTGAAAAATCAATTATTTTAAAATATTTTGGACTTCTTTTGAAAAATGTGGAAGATGTGGTAACACTACGTCCACATTCGCAAAGGGCAAGTATCAAGTCATGCTAAGCTTCCCCCTTTAGGGAGGGTATTATATCTCTATGATGAGGCCACAGTCCCCAATCGTTTATATTCCATTTCTGAATCCTGGAGGCATTGCAATTTATAATCCCTGGTTTGGCCCGGCTTCCCCACTGTAAAGGAAGGGAAGCTGAGGTACACAGAAGGGAAGAAGCAGAGTAATACAGCAAATCCAAGGCAAATAGGGAACAGACCTGCCTCCTGAGTTGAAAATCCCATAACAACGGCTAACATTTTTGGAGAACTTTCTATGCCTTAGGCATACATGCTAAGTGCTTTTCAAACATTAATGAATGCTAACCACCACGCTTAAGTAGTTACCACAATAAACCTCATTTTACATGGAGAAATCAGGTCACTTGCTCAAGGTCACTCAGGTAAGAAGTATCAGAGTGAAATTCATCTCAACATCTAACTCCGGAGCCTGAGCCTTCAGCCATCATCTTTCTTATTCTTTGGAGCCCACGAGTAATAAGGCAGAGAAAAATCATGGTTCTGTAACCTTTCGACTCCACTAAGTCAGAGTTCTGTGGCTTAGGGGGTGGGGTGCGAAGCTCAGGCACAGATGGTGCTGACCCCATTTTCCCTGCAACACGTACAAACTCTTGATGAACCCGGAGCCCCTTGCAGCCACGACCAAGGCGGAGGGAGGAGGCAATACCCTCGCCTCGTGTAAACTGGGTAAGCTGTGGCCTGTGATAGGAAGGGATTCAGAAGAGGCCTGGCAGGGCGCAAGGAGCGGAGCTGCTTCAGCACCAAGGACAGCAGCCGCGCTCCAAGCCCCAAGCCCGCAGTCTTTTTTGGGAATGCTCCGCTCTGCAGCATTCTTCCGGGGTTTTCTGCCACCGTTTCCCCACGAGCTTGGAGGGACTCAGGCCCGTGGTCTACCTCACCTCAGAGCCACAAGAATTCCCAACAATTCCAGCTTCATTTTACCGAGGCCCTCTCTCTTCTGCTTTTAGGCAGACGTTAAGGAACCCTCACAAGAGGGCTGTCCATCTGCCCAGGACTTCTTGTCTCTTTGCATCGTGTGCTCATGTATATGGGAGCTGAGAAGGGGAGAGAAAACAGGGAATTTACTGCAGCCAACCCCGCGTTCTCCTCCTCCTTGGATCCGTAGCCAGTCAGGACCGTGCTGCCAAGGGCTTTAATGCAAGCCCACCTGTCTGGTACCCACGGTGGTCCTGGCAATTGGAGAGGCCTGTAAAGTGATTGGATCTGCTCCTTGCCAAGTCCCTACGCCACCCCCCGTAACCCAAGAGGCTCTGCCATCCTCCTTACAGAGACCTGCCCCTCTCTCCCTAAGGAAATACCATTTCTCCAAAATGGTGGCCACACCTATTCAGTAGTTAACGGAGAGATGAAGTACCAGAGGCCATTTCTAAACTCTTCTGTATGTAGCCATTTCTAAACTCTTCTGTATGTAGATGAGGTATTACTGAGGTTACTTTTGGTGAGAACAGGAAGTGGGAAGCAGATGGTTCTGGAAAGACAGCGGGATGAGGTGGAAGGGAAAGAGGATCTAGAGAATCCAGGAAGGAGGTATAAGGAAAGGGGTCTGGGTCAGATTCTCCAGACCTTTACTCTCTGAATTAGATCACCCTAAGAGGTCTGGAGTCCTTAGGCTGACTCCCCAGTAGTGGAGTTACTATGCATTTGATTGATAAACGTTTTATAGCCATTATCCCATTGAACGTCCATTGCAGTCCAGTGATGTGGAAGAATTATCTTCTCCCAGAACCCCACCAGCTTTACAGAAACACAGTCTCTGGCCCTGCTAACCTGCTTGGCTCTGTCAGGGTTCATTGTGGTTTGTGGTTGAAGGATGTTGACCACCTCAGGCTTGGTCATTGCTTGTGGGATTTCTCGGACCTTCTCAGCAATAAAGCTGTGCACAGCATTCAAGGCCTCTGCTGTGCCCTGTACCAGGCATACTCGCTCTGTGGTTCCTGTGGAGCAAGGAAGAGAGAGGGCACACTCATCAGATAGGAAAAGGGGCACTCCTGAGAGACAGGTCCCATTTAAAGGAAAGAGAAAACTGAGGTCCAGAGAGTGGATCTGAGTAGCCCCAGGTCACATGGTAAGTCTGGGTAAGCTGGCATGGGCTCCCAGACCATGATGGGTAGCTGGGAGAGTGAGTGGAATCCCTGTTTCATTATCTGCACTTCCTCTCCCTCCCTTAAAACAACCCCAAGGGATGGAAGAATGATGCTTAAGTGCTTTGCGATGCCCACAGCAGCCCTGGGCAAGGGAGACAGGGCTCAGCTGCCTCTTCCCAGTCCTTGCCGGCTTTCGGTTGCTTTGGCAACCATTCACTCACTCACCACTCCCCCCACCTTCTAGAAGCCGAGAGCTCAGGCCTGCAACGGTTGCCACAGTAACTGGAACCCCCTTATCGGTGTGGCTGGCCGGGTCCTCAGCCCACCCCCAGGGGGACGAGGGACGAGGCCCCGTTGCTATGGCAACCCCTGAAGCCTGCAGCGACGGCCTCTGGGCTTTTGGAGA